AATCACCGACAAATCTAGTGTGTCACAAGAGTAAAGAATCACCGACAGCTAGTGGGTTGTAGTGTGATTTTCGTTTTACTCAAGAAAGATATTTGGTGTTTGTTAAACTTTGAGCGCCAGGGAATTGTAATTATTAGTTAATGTGCTTTTATCAATAAAAATTAATTGTAAATAAAGAGAAGCTTTAGTATAATTTATTTGGGTCACTGCAACCTGACAATGTATGTACACTCTTCTAAATCTGTGTACAGCACGTACAATCAGCTGCTTCCAAGAATTGCAATTTATTGCTGCAAGACTACGAGAGGCCTGCAAAGTCGAGATGAGATCTACCCATGAGCATATCGAAGACCACCCTCACCTGCAAAGAACAGAAAGTCCCTATATGCCTCTTCAAATTAGTCTGTGCCCACACACAAAAGTGACTGGGACCAAACATTTCAAAGCTGTTGCATGTGTGTATATTCAGCACTCCTTGTGCAAAAAGAACAAAAGCCTGAACATGAAAGTGATGGAGCTCTTGCCCACAGGAATGTTATTTCAATGTAGAAATGCACTGTAATTACTCCATCTCGAGGCAGCATGTAATTGATTGAATGGAATAAAATGACATCCCATGTCAAATTGGGATTCCAGTGGGACGTCAGTTGCACATAACTAGGAGCACAGAGGGATGTATGGTGTTCCGTTCCATATGTGCCGCCCGGTCAGATTTCTCAACCGGCATCACATTTTTGGTTTATAGTCACATTTTTCAACTGGCATCACATTTTTCGACAGGCAGCATGTTTTTCAACCGGAGTCACATTTTCAACCGGTGTCGCATTTTTCATGAAACTATCATGGCTTGGATAGTGGCTCTGTGTGTCTTGATTCTTTATTGTCCTATCCTTTTTCCAGAGTACAACCAGCAACCAGTCAGTTCACTGAAGGCCTAAGGCCACTTTGGTCTGAAATCAAAAAGAATCCAACTGCAACGGCTTCACTGTTTGTGTACAAAGATGATGAACTGACATTGCAAGATATGAAGAAGCTGTACACGATCAGTTACTCCTCTGAAGGATCAAACAACCACCTTTCTGAGGAGGACACGGTGTACTCTTTCGAAATCTTCCTGCAGTGTTGTGCAGGTAATTTTTGGACAACGCCTTTTGAAAAATGCAACGCAGGTTGAAAAATGCAACACCAGTTGAAAAATGCGACACCCATTGCAAAATGCGACACCAACAATGGCTGAAAAATGTAACGACGGTTGAAAAATGTGACGCTGGTTGAAAAATGCGACACCAAACCAAAAATGTGACACCAGTTGAAAAATGTGACGCTGGTTGAAAAATGCAACGTGACCAGAGAGCACATATGGAGCATCATTAGGATGTCAGTTGCACAAAACTGGGATCCCAGTGGGATGTCAGTGACATCAAACTGGGATGTCAGTGGGATATGAGTGGAATCCAACAGGGACACTGCCAATCCCCCGCAAATCGCCCATCCTGCATCCCGGTAGGATCCCAGTGGGATTCCTACCAGGATCCCAGTCACTTTTTTCTTGGGATAATTTTAACCTCAGTTTTTGTTGCTGCCTCTTTGCTCATAGATTATGTGAAGAAACTGTTCCCAGGAGTGGAACCGACCCATATTTCACAAACTATGGCCTACAAGCTCAAGGATGTGAGGAGAGCGAGTAAATAGCCTGCTTCATTGAGGGTTTTGCATGTAATGTAATGTACTGAGCTTTAATAACACCATTACACGTGAGGTTAAATGGATGTACAAGACAGAATGTAAAGTTCTATAGAAGAAAAGTTGTTGTTTTAACCACTACCAGCCGGGGACTCCGAAATCGGAGCCGTATGGTTTATATGTGTGGCCGGGGTCTCTGAACTTGGA